AACCCAGAGAAAACCCACACAGACACGAGGAGAACATGCAAACTCTGCACAGAAGGGTCCCGGCCTGACTGGGATTCAAAACAAGAACCTTCTTGCTGCGAGGTGACAGTGCAAACCACTGCATCACCGTACTGCCCTTTAAAAAAAAAAGAACCTACAGAAGAGAAGAGGTTAAGGGCAAGGTATTTACGGGAAATCCTCATTGGGTGGTCTCTGAGCAGCACACAAACACAACAGTGTATTGGAATTCAGTCCAGTTAATCCAAGAAGGCAGACTGGATCAATGATAACCCTGAATTTACATCAGTAAAACAATCAAATGTCTCCCAAAAACACAGCAGCTGACCTTTTCTGATAAGGTCATTCATACAATTAGGAATTAGAGAGTGAGGGGGTCCTTGAAGTTTGAGTTTCTGTGAAGCAGCTACAGCAATTAGGAAGAAGACATCAGTCAACTCAGAGGCTCACTGCATCGCTCGGACTCTTTTCACACAAGCTTCATTTAAGAGAGGGAAGTGGAAGGAAGCTCATATCCTCCTGATGATCATACAGTCACCCTCATTACAGCATATATGCTTATAGGCCTCTGTTTTACAAACAGCTTGCTCCATCTTTCTGTCTCTGCTGCACCTCCCCCTCATCTACCTCCTCCTCTCTCTCCACCTGGAAAGCAGGGAATCCCTCGCATGTGTTCAGCAGTCCCTTCTCCTCCCAGGAGTCCCATCCTGCCTTCCTCATCAAACATTCATCCTCTCTCTTTGTCTCTCACAGATCATTACTGCCAGGCCTTCCATTGACTCGAACGCTGTGATGGACGTATGGTGCTTTTGTTTTTTATTGTACATTTGCATTATTCATCGTCACAGAATTGCACCGCGAGAAGAGAGTGGCCTGAAACACCATGTTTTTCTGGAAATCATTAGAAGAGCTGTTTCAGAACTAATGACTGAAATTAAATAACGTCATTTAAATATTCCAGTGCAGTCAGGGTTGATTTCAAATAGCTGCTCCAGCTTCTCTCATTTTAATTTCACCTTTGCAAAATGAAAGTTTCATTCAAAGTCTCAACAATTCATGCAACATGTTAATAACTCGACGTTTCTAATTATTTCACTTGTTTTCAAGTATGGAATGATTTGCTTTATGTGTTAAACATCATAATCACATGGGTAAATTGTCATTAATAGTCTGATACATGCAATTACACACTACAACTCAAACTGATGTGTGGAAAATACAGTGCAAATACCCCACAGCTCTGATCATAAATCACCAGAATGTTATTAAAATTCTGGAGCTTCAGGTTCAGGTTTATTGCAGTGATTGGGTCATGACATCTACGAGGGGTCAAGATTAATCTAGTGGGTTACGAGATGATTGCCAGGACAGGAATTCATATAAAAAATACTGATACACAAAATTAGATTTCTATGCTTCTATGTGATGAACTAGTTTTACTCATTTCAAATTTTAGTCGACGTATGTCACAATCCATTAATGTGTGGAAACTGCATCTTTAATTCATTTATATTCTCAAGATATTCACAATCTAACTGTAGAACAGTATAAATGCTGTAATCTAGTAGTTTCATAACTAGGGGTCTGGACCTTTTGGAGGGTCGTGAGATATGGAGGAAGAATTAAGGGTCAGGAAATGATTTCCAAGAATCAAATATAATTAGATAAAGCACATTTAGCCATAATTGTTACAAAGCAAGAGTTCGATTTAAGATAAAACCATGCAACTAAAAAATATATCAATCAACCCTGAGGTGATTATGACGGATTCGTTTTAGCATCAGTTGCAGCAGTTAAATCTATAGCTCCATAAGATTCACTGCAACATGATGGGGTCCTGAGTCTCTCAGACTCAATTTTGGAAACTCCTGTTGTTACCAACACTTGCTCAGCTGCTGCCACTCACGATGTTTGAAGACATTTCTTTTTAAGGTTCATCAGCATCATGACAAGCAAAGAGAGCTCAGCATCACTGACCTCTCTCGCCCACTGACTCTGATACGTCATCAAGAAATCTGTCTTTTTGTCTTTACACCCCAAATATCCCAAGTTACCCTAAATACTGAGCTTGAATATTTTTTTTATTTATTCTCCTCCTTCAACGACAACTAATCACTTCAATATCACTGGAGTCAGAACTTATTTCATCAAGAGCTGGAAGAAGAAACGATCAACAACAGTTCATTATCACTCATCTCTCAAATGTTACACAGGAATGAGCCATGTACAGTCAGTGCAGTTAGCTCTACTCTGAGAGTCACATGAACTTTACTTTCTGTGGAGTAAGACTGATTTTAGAAATCCATTGTTACTTCACCATGATTTTATCAAGATCAGTGTCACTGAATGCTGGGCTGACTGCAGACCCATTGAAAGTGTTTATTTTGGTTGAAATCCAGTTTCTACACAGTGTAACTACTGCACTGCCTTGAAACACACACAGCGAAAGCGTTTCCATTCATTCTGTCTGAAACTTTGCCCCTGAAATTAATTAGTTATCTTCCATGCCTTGCCACGTATATAAGAAGCACACAATAAACTGGCATCGACTTACAGAATGAAAATCAGCACATAAATACCCACATTTGCATTTGTGAAGAGGGCCATTAAATATTTCATTTAACAGATGTTATAGGAATCAGGTGTACGGTATAGATCAGACTTTATAGACGACATCCAACTCATGTATCTCACTCGTACCTGTGTGTGTGTGTGTGTGTGTGTGTGTGTGTGTGTGTGTGTGTGTGTGTGTGAGTGTGTGTGTGCGTGCGTGCGTGCGTGCGTGCGTGCGTGCGTGCGTGCGTGCGTGCGTGCGTGCGTGCGTGGAGGAAGACTAAGCTATTAAACTGTCCTTTTGATGGGACTGCAGGGATTCATCATACAGCAATTTAATCTTTGGTATCTGGCAGCTGATACAACCGGAGCATATTGTCAGACGCCTGAGTGATGATGGAGCTAAAGCAGATGTCTCTTGACTTAAAGTTTAGTCATGCTCTGTAAAGTTTAATGATTAACTAGACAGACAATTATTGGCCCTATTGGTTACTTAGAACGACTGCACAAGGGATGGTCTGTATTTATGTAGTACTTTTCTAGTCTTGATGACTTAAACTACAGTTTTACCATACACCCATATACAGTGCATCTGTGTGCAACACTTCCTGGATCACACATTACTCTCACACTGCCAGTCCAGCCATGAGGGGAAAACCGGGTGCCCAAGGACACTTCGGCACACGGAAGGGATGACTGCACCACCGACCTCTCTACCCCTAAACCACCGGGCTCAGGAGGGAGTTATCTTTTCACCCCTGTCCGTTTGTATGTTTGTTGTAAACAAGATTAAACAAAAACTACTGGATGGATTATGATGGAACTTTAAAAAGAAGTTAATGGGAAAAAACAATTTAACTTGGTGCTGATCCAGATCAGGGGGCAGATGTTGGGCCTTGGTGGAGGTATACACATGTTATTGGTTCATCACTGTTGCAGTTATAAGAAAACTGATACCATTAAGCACAAGTTGCTTGTACTATAGAGACACCCGGCTGAAGCTTTTACAAGTAGTTAAGAGGGAGATTTGCAGTTTCAGTTCCTCTTTGCAGATAATTAGTTATTTCTGCTTTGTTCCCAAACTCTTAATTGCTGCTACCCGGCATCACACTCGCTGTAATTAACAGCGCTCCTCGTGTCCTCGTGTAACACTGTGTGTCTCCTCAAGTTAAAGTAACAGGTGAGGATGTGGGACTGAGCAGTGCAGGAACCACCGGTCAGACAGCCTCACCTCCTCCTGCCATACTTTTTATTACTAGATTCGGAGGATGGCAGTGGAGTGTATGTTCTATTCTTCAGTCGGCCATTACCTGAATAATTTACAGTCATCAACATCTTGAGCTGTGAATGCTGGTCTCACATTATTCTGCATCCTTTACTGGAGGAGGCTTTTATTCTAATTCAAAAATACTAATTATCAGCAAAACAGTTATTGTCAGATGTATAAATAATAAAATGAAGGTGTGTATAGCTCATGACTCACTGTGTGGACTGAAGGGGTTGCACTTAGAGGGATTATATTGTTTTTATCTGCTGAACATGCAGCACTGATGCCCCTGGGACCAGAGGAAGCATCCACAGACCATGTTTTACTGCCCGTAATGACTTTGTTCAGTATTGGCGAAGCAGGCTCTAAATATTTTGCACCTTGGGGTGTTCATTCATATTCCAACAGTGTTTAAACATTTATTTTGAACTCCTGATGATCTGATAATGGGAGAATAACACAGAGTCCGTCACACATGCACACAACAGCCCACCTCACTGTTTCCACGCTGATTTACACAAGTGCGATGTTGATCTGCACTCTGATTATTATATTTCTATTTGTTTATAGTGGCAGTGAGCATAGATGCGTTTTCACGAGGTAGGAGAATAAACTATGAAGACAAAATGCCTTCTGTGTTTTAATGGACCGTGCTTGTGCGTAACACATCTTCTCTCCAACACCCTATGGCACACAAACTAATTCTCGACTCTTTGAAATTTCGACTTTTCTCGGCAGCGTTTCGCACTTTTTTTTTTCTTGCACAAAGTGATTTCCCAAATCAGAGAGATTGGAGACATGGCTGTTTGGATTGCAGCCCGTACAGCCGCGCCTGTTTAGTAGTTTTCAGCAGGCTCGCACATGTGGAAGCAGCAAGTGTAGACATGGCTATGGCCAGAGGATAGTGGTAAATGTTAAACAGGCAAAATGTGATCTCTTTATGGTAAACCGCTTCCAATATAGAGAAAATACGAAGAAATATTTGGCACAATTACGCACAAACTGATTTTGTCAACAACATTTAAAAAAGGTGAGGTCCGCTAATCAGATTCAACCCTGCACAGACTCACTCCATTCAGCTTCTCAATAAGTTCACACCCAGGACATTCAACGCACAAATCAGTCGAGTCAAAAAAAACCCCAATAGAACAGGATCCCTTACCTGTGCGGGGTGAGTTGGTTTCCAGCGCTGCCGTGCGATGAGAGGAGAGTATACACCCAGCGCAGCAGCAGCATCCTTCTCACCAGTGTCGATGGTGTGGTTTCTTTAAGCCTTAAACTCGGAGCGGGTTGTGGAGTGCACCGGAGCTGGATGAACGGAGGAGGCGAGTGATGCCTGAAGTTTGAACCATGCGTGAAGCGTGCGGGAGAAGGAGCCGCGCGCCAGGAGCTGTCCTTGGTGCTGCGTAAAAAAAAAAACGAGCACGCGACCAGCCGCTGGATGCTGGAGGTTTTCAAAAGTCACACAAACGAAACAAACAGAAAAAAAATGTCTTGGTGTAAAAGCACTTTCCAGAGCATCAAGAGATGATACTAGACATTTTACGACCAATTTATAAGAAATGGGATATGCCAGATTGTAGAAATGATTAGTAAAATTTGAAATAATTCGATTAGACACAATTTCAAATCTACCTGTTACTCGAGGTTTTGCAGAATCTTCATTGTGGCAACAGTATATTCAAACATACCAGCTGATAAAAGCGCCGGCTGCGGATAGGCGCACCGACCTAGGGGAGCTTGAACTCTCCGAAGGTTCAGACACCTGGACAAAGGCGCAGTTGCTCCGCGCAAGAGGAGTCCCAGAGACTCTGTCTGAACGGAATCACCATTATGTAATTCAGAGCACATATAACGTGAACAGGCGGTGTGGTCTCCGGTTGAAAGCTGTTGGGTTGGATGAGAATATCAGAACAGTCGCCCCCTGTTTGTTAAAGCTGCTGTGTGGGGTGTTTAAATAAGGATTCTTTGAGACTGCTCATCTGCAGCGGACGGTGGAAATGTTTTATGTGGGAGCCGCAAAAACAAGTTGTGACATGGGGAGAGGTCAGTCCCAGATGGCACAGTGATGCGCACAGGGGCACGCGCGCTCTGAGAGGGATGCAACCCCTTTCTCTCTCTCTCTCTCTCTTTCTCTCTCTCTCGCTCCCTGCTTAAAGCACGCAACGGTCGGCATCTAAATTTGTATGTTGAGACACCCTCCAGCCACCCCTCATTTCTCTCTCCACGTGCAATGTAATGAGATTAATAATTAACGTCATGGGAAGGCAATAATCTCCGCGCCCTCATAGCTGCATGACACCCCGGTGGGTCTCACAATTCATTAAATCAGTGGCTGACCCAGTGTGTCATCGCAGTCTCTTCCAGACTGATTCCCATTTTTTTTGCCTCTGGACAAAGGTCAGCGTGCCAAGATTAAAAGTGAACGTGCAACAGACATGTGGTGAGGGCATCTGTCCCTGCAGACTGATGACACCTCTGTGGGCAGCGTGGCTACTGATCTCATCAAGTCTAATCAGACAACAAATGTCACCAACGGTCCTTTGGGTGGAATATGCTTAAGATTTAAGCAATGGAAGTATGTAATTTATCTCATGTCCCTATGTTATGTGGCGAGATGTGTGGTTCTTCTAGATGGACATGGTGTTGCTTCATTTCTGTGGTGCATACATAAAAGAACAAAACAATGTGCAGAGGGGGAACAAATTGAGGGAATAACCAACGTCCTAATAAGGCCACTAAGCTTCAATGGTCCTTAGCAAAGAATCTACAAGTCTATTAACTCTTAGAGGAGGATCACCTTTCTTCCAAAATACATTGGCTCATTTGGAGTGAGAAGTATGTCAGCACATGATCCAAATCCCCCCTCAACAGTGATGACCTCGAGCAAATCATATAATTCACATCATTTTCATTTCCTCAACCCATGCAGTGATCCCTTGTGCCCCCTATGTGTTTCTCCAGTCAGTTATTGGTGTCCTTTCTTTAATTTGTGACCCACTGATATCTGCTGCCTTCACAGATCACGTTCTTTTCTGCACATTGGAACTCTCCACAATTGCCAGAAAAATCTCTCGTTTTGAGGAAGATACTGATGTTGCAGTAAGTAACAATATGTTAAAAAATATTCGTTGTGGGAGCCATGAATTAATTTTTGTAGTATTATTAGATTCTTATGGTCTGTTTTTGATATTTGTGACTGTTTTTGATATAATTCCTCATTCTGATGAGTTTGTGGGGAGAGAGGGTGAGTGAGTTACCACATTGTTCTTGACCGCACTCCGTTGATCTTTGTTGATCTATTTTTCAATCAATAGAATCATCATTTTGACAAGATCCAGATCTCAGCAAATCTTTTTGTTGGCTTGTTCGACAAACTAACTCATCCTTTAACTAACTAATCCTCTCAGCGACTGTTCAGTTTATTCCCTGAAGTTGCTACATTGGTGTTCACTCATAAACACATAACACTTTACTGAGGAAAGATAATACTCACCATTATATCAACCTGCCCAGGAGCAAGAAGGATATCTTCTCTCCCTGCTGGTGTATGAACCAGTAAAATTACTGTGCCTTCAGTGTCGGATTTGAAGGAAAAACATTTGTCCTTATAGGTCATGATGCGCATTGGGGATCGCTGGCTAAAGAACACGTGTGTCCATCAAAAATCATTCATCTGTTGAAGCCTGCTCTTCCTCTTCTCCAAACACAGCGGGTTACGTTTATTGTAACAAAAATGCCAAATTGCTCAATCAAGCGCTGGTCGGATCGATGCAGCTCATGCTAATTTGACATAATTTGGAAACAGTAACATTTTGTTATTATATTTTAAGAGTGTGTGTGCTTGCCAAAAGAATCCACACTTCAACAAATTATTTCACATGTGCTAGGGGAAATAGCTCCTTTAGAAACATCTTAAAACACAATTAGAAAGTATAGCATTTCTTTTTTTGTCAGTATTTGAATTCAATGTCTGCAGCTTTTCCAAGTAGGCAGTGGCACTGGAAGTCATAACAGTGTGACACCCTGAAAGTGGTTCAAATTTAAGAGACGGCTTAATGAGTTAATAGGTGCTTACTTCCTCATTTATATCTTCAGTACAAAAATGTGTTCCACTGCCTCCCACACGTTGTTATGCTGCTCTGTTTCTGTTGGGAGACAGACGAGCAAAGATGGATAAGAAGGGTTCTCAGAGGGTTTTAAGTTTACATACCTGTAGAAAAATTCAGATTACAGATTTTTTTGTATGTGCAAAAACATTTATGCACATCTGATTTGAAGTTTTTTATTACAGACAGAAAGACACAACCATGGCCATGTGCTGTACATTATTTCTAATGTCTCACAGCACCAACGTTTTCAGTCTACAAACATATCACAGCTAGTCTCTGGAAGTGAGTGAACAGAACTGAGGTGGTTCAACAAACCAACAACAGAAGGGGAAATTACCATGAGAAAAACTAAAGCCATTATCTGAGTGCAGGGTGATGATAAAATGATCTGTACAGTATTCAAGGGGAAAACACTTCATATTTTTTTTGTTTAATATAAACCCTGGTCCTGATGACTTGGAGTCTTCTGGAGGATTCGTTGGTTTTACTTTACTGGTGTCGACAAAAGTTTTACTCCAGAATTCCCCCTGTGTGATTGACAGTTTCCAAACTTTCCACAAAAATAGAAAGAAAAGTCACACAATGATATGGGTCCATCAAGATTTCAAGACTCCTGCACATTTTCAACCAAGTCAATACTATTTATCAAGACACCGAAGTCAGGAAATGCACACAAACACGTGACATAAATTTCCTCAAGACATGACAGTGGGGGAAAATATCCACGTCACACAAGCTGCATCATGATCCAATGTCTTAACTTCAATGTGGATGTTTAACTTAAGTGTCAAAATAACAAAATTAAATATAGAATTAAAAAATACTTGGCCCTCATTTGCTGCAGAGACATTTAGTTTGACTCAAGGTGTCCGCTGTTCTATTCTGACTGTTTAAATATAAGATCATGAATAATTTCTTTAAAAAAATGATTATAGTTTAACAAAACCTACAGGCTTCAAAGAGACAATTAGAAGGCGTAGAAAGATGGCATGTTGGTCATGGCATGAATAGCTTTAGATCCACCAACAAGATTAAATGACAGATAAACCAGCAATAACTGAGGAACTTCTCTGGCTTGCCAGTGTTACACGGCCTCCGCCCTTATCTCTGCAGCATCCTCCCTACTGCTCTCCGTCCCCCAAGGACTCCTTCTTTTCAGCCACCAGTTCAACTGCTTCTCGAGCTCCCGCTTCACTCTCAGGGAGCTCCCTCTCCTCCCCGTCTTCCTTCTCCTCCCTCTCTCCTCCCTCCTCCTCCTGCTGCTGCTGCTCCTCCTGATCCATGTCGAGCTCTTCAAAGGACGAGCCGCTGCCCAAAGACTCGTTCGAGTCTCTGTCGCTGTGGTCCCTGTTCTTAATGTCTTCATTTGCATCCATTACGTCCCTCAGAGGCAAGGATGAGGCCAGGGAGGCAGCCGTGGAGGCAGCCAAGGATGTCTCTCTGCTGTCCCAGGGTACGCCGCCACTCACTGAGCTCACGTCACTGTGGGAATCCGCTCCTGGAGCAAAACAGGAAAAAGACACAGGTAAAATGAGCTCTATGACAAATTCTTGTGCAAAACCTGTCTAATAAAAATAAATGATAACAGTGGAGAATGACTGAGTTACAGTAAAATAAAGCTGTCTGCAGCCTTGTTTTCTATGAGATCATTTGTTGGGAGTGTAAAGCAACCACTGCTAAACTACTTCCAGAGTTTGAATACAATAGTAAATGCAACCCCTAAATGCACATAGATCACTGGTTCAGACTTACTAAAAATGAAAATATATCAAATTTAAGCCACGTTTGGGCAAACTGAGATAGGTGCAGCGTTTCCACTCATGGATACTTGTGAAGCAGCCAGAGACCACAAGAAACATCTGAGGAGAAATTCAAGGAGAAACATGATATTTATTTTACACAGCGGAGAGATCTATCACCAAGTGTTTTCTGTGTGAAGGTAACTGGAGCCTACAGCCATGCTAGCGGCTCTGTGCTGCAGCCTGCTAATGCCCAGCCATGCTTTGACAGAAATGCTATCATCAGCATCCGCACATGCTCACTATGATGATGCTACCATGCTGATCTTAAATTCATCATCTTAATTAGCGTTTTAGCATGCTAACATTTGACTTGGGCTGATGAGAATGTCATTAGTTTTGTAAAATATAAAGTATAAAGCACAGAATTGGACAAAGTGAAAATTTGACGGTTTTAGCCATCAGCAAACTTCTTACGATTCATCCTCTGGGGACATCAACAGATTGATTTGCATGACAAGTGAAAAGATATTTTACTTCAAACTGTAAATGTCCACCCCATGCAGCATAACATGATCATAAGGATCCATCCTCTGGGAACCATAAATGTCTGTAAAACTCTGTACTGATCCATCAAGTAGATATTTGAATAATTCTCAGGAAAGTGAAAAAGAAAAGCTAGGGGATCAATAAGGTCATCAGGATCCATCCTTTGACTGTCTATGCAACCAAAGTGGTGGGCCTATTGACCAGCATGCTCTCCCTCACTTAAAACTCACTGGATCTGTTTTGAATAATTTTGAATTAATACTTTGTCACAATGACTCTACACCACTTCCTTGGGCTTGAAGCAGGTTATTAAAGCTGAGCCAGATTAGAAAAGATAAAAGATCTTATAAATGAAGTCACAGACCAAGGACCAACATGTCGGTCACATCACTTGCATCTAATTATATCCTGTATTGTGGCTCGGTGCAGCGTGACTATATTTTGGAGGAAGGGAATGTTCACATAATACATATCTGAAATCATCACGAGAAATGTCCATTAGTGTAATTGGTGGAGATCCCTACACCCACATCATCAGCTTGCTAATGCTTTCAGACTAAACCTGATTCTAATTGGCCTTTGATCTTTGATTCTCTGTGACCCAGCAGCCATTCATTATCCCCGACTACTGATATTCTTAGGTGTTTGTGCTTTAGCCGTGCAGATAATGTTGTAATGTGCACAGATATGATGTGGAATAGTAATTGCAGGGAAAGTATGAAACATTTACAGAAAGCTGATCATTTTCATCACTAGCAATATAACAAAAGTCCACCATACATCAGTATAATACGTAATGCACAGTGAGGGGGTTTAACAAATTGTTGATCTACCTCAGATGTGTTATATGTTATGTTATTTATCAAGTGTTAATATATATATATTTTGGCCATATTGTCCAGACCTATTCAACAATCAAACAAATAGTTAATAAAATCAAAAGCACTGTGTGACAGGTGGGTCAAAAGATCTAAATCAACTAGAGACGAAGAACAGAGAACATTTCATTTTTAAGTTAAAGTAAAAAAAAGAGGCAGATCACACCTCCCACCTACACAGCTTGATTCTCAGATAGCTTTTCACAGTTGAACTCACAGAGGAGAATTAGAAGGAAGAAAAGAAGTTGTGAGAAAAATTAAGTAAAAAGCCACAACTATAAAATATCTTTTGTTTTTCAACCATGTATTTCAAAAACTGTTGAAGACGTGATCAAGTTGAAATAAATGATTCTTACAAAACCCAAGAGACAACTCTAAACCCAACGCTCTTTAATCCTATAAAACTGGGTTAGTCCATTACTGTTTATTGTATTTTTAGAATTTTCTGTCCTGTTTTCATGTTATACGCTGAAGCTATTCATTTTTATTACGAGATAATATATCTTATTTTGCTAAGGAACGAATGGCCTTGATAAAAAATATGTCTTCCACAAATAAAATCTGACTTGACTCGACTTGACTACCCCACAGGACACTGAAACATTATTGTCCAATCCATTCTCCTGCTGCTTTCACAATCCAAATAAATCTCATCTCAAGTGTGTTTGCACTAAATGTGTCATCAGGGACCCAAATACAATAAACACGGAGTCTCAGCGCTCATGACTAAGGTCAGGGTTTCTTTTCATTCATTCCAAGCTCAGTACAACTCAGCAATCTAATTATCACATCCAACAGATCTAATCCTGTTTGCAGCAAAGAATGTAATACATGGAAGTCCATTAAGGTTATTTATATGATGTATTTTGGGGCCTGTTGATTAGCAAACAGGTCCAAACAGAACTGTGGGGAACAGACTTCATTGGAAAAGGTCCAATGTGAATGTGAAAATGTATATCGATGGAGATTATGATTTATAATTCATGTGCATGCTGCAAGAAAAGGACCTTTCCAAAGGGACTTGTTTTACAAACAAGTCATATTTTGCAGGAAATAATGGGTCTATTTAGGGTAATTGGGTGGACAGCTCCCCCAAGGATCAGCTTCAACACGCTGGACAACTTTCAAACCCTCTACAACTGCAAACCAGTCCTGAAATTGGTACCCTGGTGGAAGCCAGCTGCGCCTCTGAAAGTCTTTTAGATAACATTTGCCTAAATTAGTTGCTAAATTGGGCCCATTGGGATTATTAGCAGAGAATCAAGGTCTTGCTTTTCAAACTATTTAAAAAAGAAGATTGGGTTTTAAGACGGCAATTAAACAGACAGGGCTGAGGCACTGAGAGTTTGCAGAATCAGACTGTGAGTGGATGGTGAGAAAGGTGTGACAGGAAATGCATAGAGTGAGGGAAAGCAGCATTCAGTAAACGTTCCCCTAAAATGTAACGCATTGTTGTTTTAAATGAAAAGTCCTAACTCTGATACTTGTTATATTGCTACAATGAGCAGAATGACAGTGTGTAAAATACAAAATGAAAACATAGCAATCACATACACAGGCTAAGTGTGTTTGAAACAAAATGTGAATGTAAGCTACATCCACTACTGTTTAATATTGCTATTGCTCCAGCTGAGTGCACAAGCAGCGCAAGGTGATGGAAATCATCTTAGGTGGATTAAAAGGAGCTCGTGCCAAAACTCAATCAATCAAAAATAATGTGCAGAAAGTGATAGAAATGTGTTTGTTTCATGCATTAGGTTGAGGAAGGATTCAGTCTCATTTCATTTCAGTGTGTGACACTGTCCTTGAGCAGTGGAGTGGAAACTCAAGCCTTATTATTTATGCCACTGTTGTGTATGAAGAGATAAAGAGTCTCTGACAACACCAAAAGTGTCGACCATGGAGTTGTGATAATTCAACTCTTCAGAAAAGTTAATCCCTGTGTGCAAACATCACTCCTGTATTTTCTTGTAAACTCATAAAGTCTCTGCCATCGTTGACATTCCTTCATCGTGTCCCATGTTCATCTGGCCTAAACTGTTGATAACACTGCCCCCCCACCATTTCTAGTTGTGCTGCTCCGTTTCATCTGTTTTGTCTGTATCTGGATGCTTTCAGGAGACGAGCAATAATATAGACAGAATAAACGCAGAGTACAGACAGAAGGCTCTGTCCATTTCTGTATAAGTATCTATATATAACATTGAGCATAAGTAATATGCTTTATGAATGCATAGCCTACTTGCTACAACTGTTTCTGTAGCAGTTTTCATACTTAACATTTATTGATGTGCCAACTTTTCTACACAAGTGTAAAACCTTTGTTGCAATACTTGAACGTCTCATCTTAGTCAATTATGTTAGGACTTGTATCACATTAAACATTGAGACAAAGCCAATTTTAATAATGACGGATACCTTCTTCCACTATTGTCTCACAACATAAAGGAGCCTAATTACATACCGATGTGCAATCAACGGTTGTGTAGAATAAACAACATTAAATTTGTTTCTCAATGACCATGTTTTGTAGGGTTGTCCTGTACCTTAGCTGACTCTAATCAGTCCCTGTGGCTTACAGTGATGAAGTGAGGACTTATCATTGGTATAAATGGTATAAAAATGGCCTGCTTTATACTGAGGCTGGTTTGTGCCCTCAAAGGATTAACAAGCTTTTCGCAGCACATACAGTGGCTGCTGTGATCACCAGATTATCATAAAAGTGTTTTCAGTTTGTTTGAGTGTTTACTGCCTCGCTCTGCTGTGGTGGCGGAAGCGGGACAAATGTTCAAGCACAGTCACGGTTTACGGTCAATAGTGTTTAACCTTTTTACCTTCAGTTGTTGTGAATCGTGACGTAAAGATTTTAATTTCTGGCGATTATAATTTCCGTGTTGACCTCTCATGCTACTGAATTATTTGGTAATGTAGAACGTTCTGACCAAGACCAAGGGGATCTCAGATCATCTGTGCATAAACAGTCTTACCATGTTTCATACAGAGACTGAATGTAAAGACAGATGACATTACAGCTCTCCAAGTGAAGCCAAATCTCATGAGAAGCTGCCTTATTAACTATCAACAATCCATTAAACAATGTGGGGAAAACACTTTGCCAACATCATCAGTGATATTCCCACTCTCCCAAAGTACTTAATACAGTGTTCAACCCTGTGCCACTGGCCCTCTGCCAGCCACAGTCTCTTGTGAGGCAGTTTTAAACTTTGTCTTAAATAAAACTATCAATATATAGAATATCAGATCTGCTGGTCCACCTTGTGCTTATGATACTCTGTTTTTCAAAATTTCTGCCATAGACCACTATTTCAGATCGTTTTTATAATATACATCCAGATGGCTGTTGGTTTTTTTTTAAGATGGAGGCCATGATTAGCATGAAGAATGTATTTAAATTAGGTTGCGTAGTCTACTCTGATAAAGATGATCTTGGTGTCAGATCATACATTTTTAGGATGCAGAATTTGAATAACTCCTTATTAACAGATGCTGTCAAATCTGGAAAAAACCTCATCCCCTCTTCCAAAAGCACAATACCTCCTATCAGCTATACCTCCCTCCATCACCATGGTGATAATTCTAACAACTGACTTTAGTCTCCAGGATAAGGAAATATTGGATATAATTTAACAGTCTACAGATAAATGATAGCAACAACGATGTGGTCGTGTTTCAGTGATTCATTTAGGGCCCCTGGCGTCTTACCTCCATTTCGAGTCCAAAAATCTTGGCTTCATCTGTGACCCAGCATTGAAATTTGATAAATATATTACCACCTGCTGTGAAATGTTGTTATTACCAGCAAAGAATTATGGCTCAACTCAGACCCTTCTTCTCTCTTTAATGATCTGAAGATCGTCTCAAATGCCTTAATTTCCTCATGGCTGGGTTCCTGAAATGCTCTCTATTTGGGCATTAGCCAGTCATCCCTGTCTCATTAGCGGCTGGAACAGGCTGCTGCTGCTGCTAGACTGCTAACGGACACTTTATTGTACCGCACTTTCGTCAACTCTGGTTATTTTAAAGGTCCTTTATAAATAAACTTGACTTGAAAAGTGGAAGGCAATCTCCTGGTGCCGGGGAGGGATTTCCACAAATAGTTTACTATTGTCAGACAACACTAGGCTCCACTGATTGATCTATCTCTAATTAAGAGAGCTTATCTGTGAGGCTGAGAACATATACACACATGGTTTTTGAGAGTCTACTCCCTGATAGAGGTTCCTGAGCACTGAAATCCATGAAATAGCCCAACAATAATTCAAAAACAGATGCATTACTGAGCAAAACTGCACACAAAGGAATATATTTGCCTGATAGTCTTTATACTGACTGTGCTGAGAGCCCATATGTTGGACACTTTAATGCACACCTCAACTATTTCTTTGACCTTTACACAAATAGTTTACACAAATAGTTGTGACAAAGCAGAATAAATAAAGAGGTCTGTAGTCTGATAAAAGCAACACTTACAATAAAAAAAAAAATCACTGAAACTTCATTTGTGTTTCAATCACTAAAGTTTCTTCTCAGCTCTTGTGAACAATAAGGTGACTCTGGGTGTTGAGTGTTTTAAAAGCAGCATAAGCAGAATCACACACAACTTTAAATGGCTCCTAAAACTTAAGTGCAGTGTTTTTGTAGCCAGTCATCTGCCTTGTTGTGCCAAAGACTCACACTCTTCAGTTTCAACAACTATTTCATTCAATGTGACGGACTCAGATTCAATTTATATAATTATATATATAATAACATTTTGAATATTGCAGTAAAGAATGGGAATACGCTTATCTTATTACCTCTGCCAAGGATGTTAGGTTTTCACCTCAAGTTAGTTTTCACTTCCATTTATTTAGCAGGATAACACCAAAACTACTGGACAGATTACCAAGAAACATGGTGGAAGGATGCGCTGTGTCAATAACGTTACCCACCAGGAAAGGGTTCCTTAAATCTATGGTGGTAGCAGGGATGGACATGCACAAATGTTGCTCTCACACCCAACAGATTCCAAGTGACAGGTACACAGATTAAATAGTAGAAGACAAGTTCTCTTGAGAGAGAGAGAACTGCATTACATGCCACTTGAGGATATGCAACTCACAACTACAGCTGAAACTATGGATGATAGCAGGAGCAAATGCCGCTATACAGCTAAACAATGTGGCAATGGAGCAAAACACTGACTTAGAAATCTCTCTCTGGAGTTATAATGACAAGTGAAGAAAATGTTTTGTTATTTTTTGGATTTTCTGGGAGGGCAGTGATGGTTTTCTAAAGAAAATAATTAAATAAACAAAGGATTTGGAAAAATATGTGAGCACTGTGTGTGTGTGTGTGTGTGTGTGTGT